GAGAAGAAATGGGTGGGTGCTGAAGCCCAAACCCCAAAACGGAGTATGTTCTGAGCCTTAAGACGAGTAGCTGGTGCGAAAGCTTAAACTCCCAAAAAGAGTGGACGCATGCGAAACCCAAAACCCTGCATCGACGGAGCAGGTGTGCAGAAGCCCGAAACCCGAAGAGGAGTGGCCGGCGCAAAAACCTAAAACCTCCAAAAGGAGCGGGTGCCCGCGAAACGCTAAATGGAGCTGGAGGGTGCCCAGAACCCCGGGTGCCCAGAACCCCAACAGGAGTAGCTAGTGCAACACCTGAACGGAGTGGGTGTAAGCAGTGGGCTGGCAAGAGCATGGGCAAGAACAAGAGCAAAAGCAACAGCAAGAGCAGGAGCAAGACCGAAAGCAGAAGCAAGAGCAGAAACAAAAGCAGGAGTTAGAGCAAGCAAAAGCGAGAGCAGGAGTTAGAGCAAGCAAAAACGAGAGCAGGAGTAAGAGCAAGAGCAGGAGCAGAAGGAAGATCAGGAGCAACAGCAATTGCAGGAGTAAGAACAAGAGCAGAACGAAGAGCAGGAGCAAAGGCAGGAGCAGGAGCAAAAGCCGCCTGGGAGCAGAGCCGGAGCAGGAGCAACAGAAGCAACAGAAGTGACAATAAGGATAAAAATGCCCCCTATAATAAGACCACTTTCCGACTGTTTATTTGGGGGACACCCTTGTACTGTTAGGGGAACGGAATTAGGAGAGCAGCCGTTCCTTCAAAGCGAACTATCCTTTAGCAAGCAAGCCCCTTCAATATCGGCCACTCATGAAAATGTCCAAAGCCTCCGACGGCCTTTCGATAGTGGGTGTTGTAAGTACTTCAGGACTGTCCGACACCATGTTGGAAGGTATACTTTCGAAGTCGCGCGGGTTCCCAAATCCCAATAACAATCTGCTGCAATCGACACTCTTGCGAACACTCATTTCGCATCTGCGCCTGCGGGAACTGAAACTTTGAAGCCATCGCAGGCGCGGGTGGGTGCCACCAGCTAAACCCTAAAATGAGCGGGTGCGGAAACCCAAGGCCAAAATTCTACAAGGTGTGGGAAAATGCGAAAACCCACATCTGGTTTCATAAACTCCAATCTCAGAATCTTAGAAAGCGGCGCGAAAACCGAACAAAGGAGCGGCTGGTGCGGACATCCAAGACCCTGAACAGAGTGGGTCTAGGTGCTGAAGGCCGAAACCCTAAAAGGAGTACGCTGTATGAAAGCCCAAACCCAAAGCCCCAAATGGAGTAGCTGTAGCTGCCAACACCCAAACCCCTGAAAGGAGTGGGTGGGCACGAAACCCAAGACCCTGACACGAGTCGGTGGGTGCAAAAACCCCAAAACCCGAAAAGGAGTAGCTGGCGCCAAGAACAGCAAAAAAGAGTGCATGGGTGCGAAGCCCAGCTGGTGCGAAAGCTTAAACCCCCAAAAAGAGTGGACGGATGCGAAACGCAAAACCCTACATCAACCAAGCAGGCATGCAGAAAGAAACCCAAAACCCGAAGAGGAGTTGCCGGCGCAAAAACCCAAGCCCCTTAACGGAACCCTAAATGGAGTTGGCGGGTGCGAAACCCAGAACCTTGAGAGGAGTGGCTGGCGCAGCAGCCTGAACGGAGTGAGTGGGTGCGAAGCCAGAAATTTCAAGGGTGGGTGCGACATCCAGAAGCTTTAGAGGAGCAGCTTCTGGGTCCGGGAAACCCAAACCTGGGTGGCTGCGAAGCCCAACACCCTAAAAAGGATTGGCTGCTGCGAAACCCAAAATCCCAAGGGGAAGGGTTTCTGGGTGCCAGCCCAAATTCAAAACGGATGCGAAAGCGCCAAGCCCTAAGAAGCAGCTGGTGCGAAAACCCGAAATCCTAAAGGAGAGTGTGGATTCGAAACCCAAGAACCTAAAAAAGGAGTGGATGGGCGTGTCATGCGAAAACCCATAACTCTAAACGGAGCAGCTGTGCAAAACCCAAACCCTACAAGAAGTGGGTAAGTGCAACGACCCAAGACCCTAAGAGACGAAGAGGAGTAGCTGGTGCGAACTGGTTCCGTAAACGTCAGACCTGAAGAGGAGGCTCCTCTTCACCCCCACGCGATGAACCTTTAACCCTTCCAGCCTGAAGCTATCTGAAGTCCTGGATCTGAGTTCGGGGTTCGCGGGATCTGAATCAGTCAGTGATCCTGAACGCGCCCTGGGAGCGCGGAAACCTGTGGATTCCGAGTGAGAAAACACCGCCCAGGATCTGCACAAACGAATATTGTGCAATATGTTGTTGCTGAGATTTGTAGTCAGATGTAGACAGGACAGCCAGCATAGATTGCGAAGCAGGAACACCTGTAGCTTGGTTTTAAAGTTCAAAACAAGCAACCGACGCGACTAAGGCACAACCCCGCCCCGACGACACATGCACTCGGCAATCCTCTGGGGTGATAAAGTTGATGAAGGCATACCCGAGGTTTGCTCGAAACTTGACGTCGCGAGGCAAATAGAAAAAGTCGTACCTGCGCTCGCAGGTCAGCAGGTGACAGTTCAAGGAGTTCTGCGTGCGAAGAGGCAGTGAGGACGGGCCACCGGCCTTCCACCAAAGCCTTCTTCATCAATGGTCAGCATGACCTGAAAACACATTGGGATGTTTTTGAGCACTCCTACGAGCGCAGGCGAGCGCAAAAGCAGTACGTCTGCGACAGCTCGCGCGAGCTGGCACGACCTCCTCTTGACTCTTTCGGCAGGGGATGTTCTTCAGCATCATTGTCCTTAGTGAAACGACACACAGCCGACTCTTCCCTGACTTGTCTCGTGAGGTCCGAGGTGGCATCGTGATAGGCTGTGTAGAAGCAGTTGCTGAACTTCCCTCCACAGTCTCATTCGTCCCACCAAACCTGAAAACAAAGATCCGACATTTCCTGCAGCACTTGCAACCCACTTTTTGGGGACAGCACTTCTTGATGTAGTCCGTTCTCTTAGGACCACCTCCACTTAGAGGTACTTTTGCCTTCTCCTGGCTGTGCTATATGACTGGCTGCATGTTGCAAGCAAGGGGAAAAATTGCAGGCGCCGGCAGTCCTTGGCACCAGGCCTTAAGGACAAAAAAGCAAGGCCCGCAAGGCTGCTGGGTTACCGGGCTCCATCAAATACCATCAGCCCCATGTCTAAGGCTCCATCACGACAGCTTGCGGGTCCATAGACATCATGAATCCTGGGACACCGAAAAGCAAAACGCTTCGAGCATTGCAAAACTTACCGGGCTTGCCCGAAACCCACATGCAGGTTCGAACTCAGAATTACCTTCGACATACTGCACCCTTTAGCTTCCCCTCGAGAAGTATTCTTGAAGCCTTTCCGCAGCAAGCTGTTAAAATGTTATGTCACGCTCAGAGGGGTATCCTCCCTGCTCGTTGGAAGCCTAGTTGAAGCCGCCGCAGGTGGACAGAAGCCCTAATTTGAGCCTTCTGTGATTCTGCTTCTGAAAAGCAACATAGGCCGAGCATGTCCTGCCATGTTCTGGTCCAACATCTGCTTGCGGCCTCCGGGTTCCAGCATTGTTGTTCAGACTCGACAGCAGATGGCCCGCATCTGCCTGCCATCAGCGCTTCATCTTCCATCATCCGTTTGCCTGAGGCAGACGAAACAACCACAGAGAACCGCAGGGCAGCTGGAGGGAAGGAGCTGAACTCTGGACCTCGGCCAGCATTCACGGTCCTTCCACCTGTGCGAATCTCTAACCTTTCTTTCTTTCTCTCTCTCTCCGCAAGGCGGCAGATCTTGCCTCCCTTCTTCATGGAAACTTGGCGGTTGCCTCTGACATGCCAGTACTCTATACGAGACTGTCCAGAAAAGGCGGCCTCGCTGAGGGTCGACTTGGCCGCACCTCCGGCAAAAGTCGTGCAGACACCCACATCAAATCGGATCCAGGGTCCAGGCCCTCCGGGCATGAAGGATGCTGCGGCCTAGTCAAAATGCATTCAGAATGCACAGCAAAGGTGACCTGACAGAACGGCCTGGGCTTGGGCCTGCATCTGCATCTGCCTTGTTGTAGTGGAACCAACATCGACCAACTTGCGGCAAATGCCCGTGACATGCAAGGCGGCGGCGGGTCGATCGACTGACGGAGGCGCTCTAGCTGCTCCTTCAGCGCATTGATTGAGTAGCTATCAATCGGAAGCATAGAATCAGTCCTGCTGCTGCTGTAGCTGCAACTGCTGCTGCTGAAGCGACGAGATACCCTGTGCCAACAGCATGCCTCCCGCCTGACGGAACGCGGAGGCTGGAGATGAGGCAGCTCAAGGCAAAGGCACAAAGATTTACCGAGCTTGCCACTGCCATGAGGCCGCCCGCAAAGTTGCTAGAAGCTAGATTCAACCTGTCATAAAACAGTACGAACCTTCCACGATGAGCACACGCACTGCAAGCTTCTTGTCGCAGGTTCAACATAGCACAGTGCACGGAAGATTCTGACCAGCCCGCCAGTCAACACCTTGCCACCAAGGAAGCAGAACGAGGCGAATCCACATGCTACACCTGACACGCTGCCTGTGCTTCCAGGATACGGAGTGTCAAGACCTCGCGACCAGAGCACCTGCAGTGTGCTTGCATCTTCGGGAACTTGATGTGTCTCCTCAGTGCCAACACCTGCTGAGGGGGAACACGTGATCCGGCGTCCTCGAAAAGGCTCATCGGTTTGCAAGCAAGCAGCACAGCTTGGGCGCACACCTGGTGTGGAGGAATTCGCGATCCCGCATCCTGCTCCAATCAGAGCGATCAGGACTTATCGAACCCAAGAACCCCCTCCATCCCCCTCCCAATTCACTTGGCCACGGCGCCTGTCCGACGAAGGTGTTTGCTTGCTGCAGAAAGCCTGTCCAGACAGAGATACTCATGGACTCGTGGCGATTCGCGAAACAGACGCGCACAGTTGCGCAATCCTCCCTCTGGCTCGTCTTGGTTGAATCGTCAATCTTCTTGCAGAAGTAAAGATCTTCAGCCACATAAGCGGTTAAAGGATTTTCGTCGACATGCCAGGTTTGTGGCTTGTCTGGTTGCCATGCGGAATCAAAAACTCTGATGGGTTTTTGGCTTAGCCCCTTGCCACTACAGACAAACCAGCAGGTACACCATAGCAGGTACACCATGAGGCGTCTCTCAGGGCTTCCCCTCCAGCAGGTTCGCGACTGGAGGCCTGGCCCCCCTGCTTTCTTTGTATAGTGCGTCCCTTCGAAACAGGGTTCCGCGCACACACACACACACACACCAAACAACAAAAATGAGGAGTTGAAATCGCTAGTGAGCTAGTGGTTAGCCTAAGATTCTGCTACAATCGTCACCGAGGTGGAACTGCCCTGGGACGACGGACTCGCCAGGGTTGTTGTCAAAGGCCCTTCCACTCCCTCGGGAGCGCTCGTTCTCCGGTCAAATAAAATTGGCCATCCGTCCACGGTTGCTTTCGTTGTTCCAGTTTTTCCGTGGTCAAAGCCCCATCAAGCCACCCTCGACACAACCGACCCTAACCTAATTTGGTGCCTCCTATCACAGAATGTCTTTGCAGCTTTGCTATTCATTGCAAAGGGCTTTTGCAAGAACCTCTGCTTCCATTGTTGCTACATCACGAAGGAGGAGAACTTCAAGCACGATGCAGGTATTAAAACCAAAACCGTTGGGCACCTGACCTGCCCAAAGGACACCAATCCCGAGCCAGCGCAACGCGAGGACAGGTCCATGCCACTACTTGTGTTTGGTCTAAAAAATTGGAGCTGACCTGTTGCACGGCCTTCATCGTCAGAGAGGGAATGTGGGCGCACGCGCAAAGCCACGAACAAGTTTGACGCATGCAAAGGCACAAAACTGGGCAGTGTAGCCGCAGGCCTGGCATCTGCCCAGGAAAGCCACCGCATCCACCTCACAGCCCAGTTCAGCCAAACCCAATGAAGCTGTGATCACACGAGTGCATCACTGTCGAGATCGCGTCCCAGCTGTGCTCCTACGTGCAGACTGCACTTGATGCACCTGTCAAAAGACCATGTAAATGCAAGGACTCCTGCAGCACCATGCATCGGAGGACATCCTGCCAAAGGCACCTGCGCTCTGCACGCCCTAGCAAATCCAACACTTTCTGCAACATCTACGACAGAGTTCGACAAAGCACCTCCATGTTGGGAAGCAGTGGCTGACCTGGCAGCCCACCTCTGTAGCCAGATCCTTCAGCAGGCACTCTTCTTGGATTGGGACACCACATTGCCGGAAAGTCGAACCCCGGCCAAACATTGAAACGAGGCAAGCTCCATCGGTGTTTGAATGGGGAGCACTACTACACACCCAGACGAAACCAAGAAACTTAGGGCCTCAGCAGGCCTGTGACGCCAACCTGTGGGCCCGTTCACGCTGAGGGGAGCTGGCTGCTTTTCTGGGCAGCACTGGTTGCCCTAGTTCGATTTCGACTACCTCCCTGGGTCGTTCTCGCTCCCCGATGTACGCTCAGGGAGCTGTGCTTTGTGTCGTGCAGGGATTCAAGGAGAAACACGTACACAACCGTGCTGGCAACGTGGCTGAGAACGGGAGTGGATGGTTATGAAGCTCAGCTGTGTGTCCGCTATAGTATGCTATGGTCAAGGGCATTGCTCAGAAGCAACACTGGGCCGCATGCTGTACGGCGAAGTCAGCTGTCCAGTGCTCCTATACTCTAAAACCTGTTGCCAGATCCTGACCAAGGTGCTGGAGCCTGCAAGCTGGATACTGTACCTGTGGTAAGTTGCATACCAGAGTCCATGGAGTCTTGTTGGTCGTGTGTGCTACATGTGGCTCAGGTAAATGCGGAACAACCAACTGACGCATGCTGAAAGGCCAAGTACACCAACGGAAAGCAGAACAGGAATTGTTTGCACCATGCTGGCTGAAGACTGCTGATCTTGATGGATGTCCCATCCACAGCCGTTGCTTCCACGAATTCTTGGGCGTGACTCCGTAATAAAGTACCTATAAAGACCCAAGCGCACAGACACACACACACACACACTCTATGAACACACTATGACAAACGGTTCCTGGCCAAACTCCGGCAGTGGAACTTACTGCCGGGGCTGGAGGAACTCCAAGGCCACCCAGGCCTCAGCACAAACATCACAAGCAGCCATCACTGAAACATGTTTTCAAGCTTGCCACAAAAACCAGAAGCATGCTGGGGATCTAGCACGGAACATCGGCTTGCATTTGGCCCTCCAGGACGGGTTGAAGTTGGGAGCCTTTGCAAGACACATGGACGCCTGCGTCCCCCTGTACATCAACTTCTTTCACAAATGCCAGCGAACTTCTCTGAGGCTCGACGCAACAACTGGTCCTGCTGCGCTCGCAGCTGCTGCATTTGCTTCTCCAGCTCATTCTCCCCATCATCCCTGTCCACGGGCTGGCCTGAAGAAGACAGCAACTTGCTGCTACGGCTACACCTGAAACAAAGCAAAGTCTATCTGTACACAACAGTGTTCCTGGAATGCCCAGTTTCAGCAGATCACCGAGACGCATAGAAGAGGTTCCCTGCCGTGAGCGGATGAGGGAAACTCAGAGATGTGTGGTGGATGTGGGCCTCCGCCTCAGCGGCTGCCCCTTTCCTAAGAGCAGCATGCGACTTGGAGGCTCTGCCAACAGCAACAGAAGCCCAACATGCATGTTTTCGCCATGTGCGTTGCAAGACGCGTCTTGCGAGGTCGAGCCGAGACCTTCTTCGGCGACGCGAGATCTCGGAGCCAGCGCCCATCCTCCAGCAAAGCCTAGAGCCTAGAGAAGCCTAGAGCAGAAAGCCCGCGTCCGAGCCTGCGCTGTCCCGAAGTGAACAAAGTGTTCCAGGTCCTATGCAGCAAAGCAGCATGCAGGATGCTTGACCTTTACGTCGCGGGCCTCTGGATCTGGAGCTTTTCCAAGGAATCCTGCCAAGTTCACGGTCGTGCAAAAGCACTCGTCACTCATTGCACAGCTTGGCCCACAGCCTGCATCAAATGGCACATCCGGACCTCTCACAGCAAAGTCCCTTTGTGTGCCACAAAGCTAAGGCTTTAAGGGTTTGGCCTGCTCCGAGGTCCACATTGTCCTTGTGAAGCAATCTCAAAGGAGCCCGTTCCATGGTGTTCTCTCGAGGAGCTGACCCAAGGATCGGCTCGTTGTGTCGGGGAGGCAGGCGCGCTGTTGCCACGGTGCGGGGAGCCAGGCTCATCGGAGCCTGTTCTACGGATTTCTACAGTTCTGTACGCTTGTTTCAGGAACTCTGCCTGATGCGAATTCATCACGTACGTCAATGAAGGTGTTTCGCACGACAATTCCTGAGTCGCTTGCTATCGCAGCAGCTAGCCTGGTCTCTACACCGAGGCCGCCACTGGAAGGAGAGTCGGGCCCCATACTATCTGGTGAGTCGGGGCTGTCAACGCTCACCGTGCTCGGAGGTGAGATGACCTGTTCCACCTGCAAGAACTGCACGCCAGGGATGAGAGGCTCCACGTCGTAGGTGAAAGTGGGGCAGGCACGAAGTTGCATCATTTATCAAATAACAGATGATACCAGGGTTTGCAGTCGAAGACAACCGCTGAGCCCAATGGTGCTCATGCTACTCATGTGCAGCTAGCGGCATGTGTTCAATCATGTGGCACGGCTGCTATGCAAAGCTTACTATGCTGGAACTTAGCTGTGCTGTGCAATCACCTTCGATGCTCGTCAGTCCCTCGCTACTTCCATTGGCATTTCCATCCTTCTGAATCGGACAGTGTCTCGCATTGGCGTCAGGTTCATAGCACAAATGTATCTTGACAGGAGTAGGTGGTGATCTCACTTGAAGTCGACGCAGGTGTGCAAACAAGTTGCTGGGTTCGCGGTTTGATCTGCGGCCTTGCCAAGCAGACTGTAGAGCGCTCGTGCAGGCGTGAGCGGGCCGGCCTGCTCTCTCTGTCTGCGAGGCGGCACAGTCACTGGAGCTGGCCGCCGGACCTGTTCAGCTGACACGCACGAACAGGCACGATCGTGCGCTAGAAGGGTCAAGCGGCCGCCAGTCGCCCTCGGCCATCCGAGCTTGGACTGCTTTCACCAGCTGGCTGAGTGTCCATGGCCTAGCGAATCTAGCGAGCAGCGAAGCAGCTCCTCCCCTCTTCGACTCTCTGCGCTTGCACAAACCTCTCTGCTCCGGCAGCACGCCGGATCCCACCCAGTCCCGGTGTCAGAGCTTGAGCCCAGCAACGTGGGATAGCTTGGCCCTGGTTTCTGCACCGGAAAATTCAAGTTTTGACCCCCCAACCATGGCAAAGCAGATGCAAGTTTTCAGCTGCAGCTTGTCACAGTGAGAACACCTCGGTGGGTGTCAACCTCGGCCCATATGCACAAGACAAAAAATGAGCAGATGACGTGGTGGGCTGCGAGGCTCCAACCGCAACGATGCGCACTCGAAGTTGGTCGCCTGTCCTGGAAGTGCCACAGTTGCTTACATTGTAATTGTCAAGAAAGCACTTCCACATTTTCCCCCACATGTCTTGACACCGTCCGGATGCTGGATGAGGGCTCCAGGAGCAAGGCTTGTGCAGCCGACCTCATTCTTCTCGCACGATTGTTAGAGCCGCAGCAACGGTGCACCAAGGCCCAAACCCGCCGTCCGGATGGTTCACACTGAGCATTGTCCCGAAAGGAGTATCTCCCTGCACCTGACAAAGCAAAACGCTTCGTTGATCATGTCGTGATGTCGTGCTGTTCCCCTGACAAGCCCAACTCAGCAAGAACTTCCAAATACGTTCATGTCTGCAGAGATGCAAGACTGCTTGCAAAGGCTACCAACTCACAGGCTGCAAACGGGGGCTGTTCTTTCATCGAATTCTGATGACTGGCGCACCTGGGGCAAGGCTTGCGGAAATGATACACCAACAGCCAGCGCGAGCACTCGCAAGCTTCCGTAACGGAGTTCATCCAGCCATTCAAAAGATCGAGCCGGAAGTGTCTTGGAGTCTTGGCCGTTCTTCACTCTTACGTGCTGGTACTAACAGCCAACAAGTTCACACAGGAGCTCTGCTCTTCCTGCATCGGCCGTGATCAACTTATCACGGCTTTCAGAACGACAGATTGAGTGTTGAGTCTGCAAGCCGTGCCTATCCATCACTGCCCGGAAGACATCCACAAGGGCTCGATTAGCTATTCCTTGCTATGCGCCGTGCCACTGCTAGTCGCCAAGGTTCATGCTTGAAAAAGTCAGCTTACGACAATCAAACTGGTCTCTTGCAAACGAAAAGATGGTCTTAACAACGTTCCGTCAGCGCGGAACGATGAGGAACCTGTCAGAATATAACCGACAATGGTGTCAACATACATTGCTAGTCGAGTCACATGAAAAACCATTCTCGATCTTTGCTGAACTAGTATCAACCCAAGACAAGATTCCATCAAGCAGGGAGCGATGGCAAAGTGACCAACACGCGTCTTCAAGCAAGTTCAGGGTACTGCCGTAATGTGAACAGTATCGGGCTGAGGCACAAGATGCTGCACAGATGCCTTGAACAGAATCGGAAAGTGCAAACGATGTGTGACTGAGACAACTCGACGCAACAGGAAGCCAGGATCATGGCAAATTGATGTTGCGAACATCACACGTGATGAGCAATGTAGCCATGCACTACTCGATTAGGTCACATTCGTTTCCCGCCTGCGCAAATACAGGCACAAGCAGGACCTCCCACAAACCCACAACAACATGCCGCCTCTGCAAACAAAGAGTCGATCTCCGATGACTGAATAGACGGGAGAATGACGAGGCAAAGACTTCCTGCTTTCTGGTAGCAAGGCATCATATCTCGACGTTGCGTCAACTCAAAGCTGACACTGAACCTAGCTTGGATTTCAATCAACAAGGCCTCGAGCAACTGGCTCGTCGCTAAAGTTTCCCACACAAGTTGCACGTGAGGTTTCCTTGTGCTCCCTGCTACGTCTTGGCCTGTTTGTCTGTGGCTATATGCCGACACGGCGGGGTGCATTTGCTCCCCTTATCAGACAACAAGCTGCAATCCGATGCCTTGGCATGTAGTTGAGTGTCCGGGGAGATTCCGAGGAAGTCCTTCAAGCGATGTCGAAGAGCCTGTTCACTGACACACGTACGCGAAGCGAATCAATGCACTCAACATGGACACCCTCAGCCCGCTGCACGAATCTGAAGATCTTGCATATCCGTGGAATCCGGTGGATCCGTCGCCTCCTTCTCAACACGTATACGTCGCTCCAGAAACTGGTAAAAAGCGTCAGGGCCCCGGCCTCGGCAGAAATATGCCAACTTGCCTCTTGACACCCAGCAGTGGTCCAAAGCAGTCAATGCAACTTCATGCAACTTCCCCAAAGGCTCCGAAATGTGCTCTGCACGTACACTGCAGGAGCCAGAACACAAAGTCACAGGGCCTCGTCTGTCGGAGCCTTCATCGAAAGGGCCAGGAGGCCTACAGCGCACAACAAGTTCCACTTTTCGCAATGGGAGAAGCATGCAGAAGCCTTCCTCCATCTCACCAAGTATCCTCACAGTCACCTTTTGGCCAACTGCCTCAGCTCCCGTGTCTCTGCGGACCACCAATGCAGGACCCGGACTCGGATCGAAGCAGCAAGCTTGGGGCGTAGGGCGCCCACGAAAGCTGTTTGCGGCTCCTCCCTCTCTCTCGCTCTCTCTCGCTCTCTCTCTCGGACTTTGGTTCGCTGACCATTCCGACGAGGACATGAACTCGAAGGACCCATCACCGTCCTCCAGATAATGGTCCATCTCAGTAACATACGCCAGCCCATGGCCGCTTGGAATCCGCACGATCAGCCCAAACTTGTGTACCTAGCGACTCTGGCTCCGAGATCGAAACCGAATGGCCCTGGGCTTTCTTTTCATGGCGCGCCTCGTCGATGCTTCCATGGATCCACCCCGCACGCAACTCCTGCGAATCGATGGCCTTCGTGGACAGGAACAGCCTGCAGGGAATGCGGAACAAAGCTGCAACTGAAGACGTGGTCCGGCGGCCCGGCGATCCCCCTAAATCCAGATCCGCAGCAGCAGCAGCAGCAGCAGCAGCAGCAGCAGCAGCAGCAGCAGCAACAGCGAAGGCTCCAAACAGATGCAGCTTCCAGCTGGTGGCAAAACATGTCTAGACCATATCATTTTCCTGTGCAGTGGCGTTGTGTGACGGATGCGACGTGTGACAAACAACGGGCTCAACATACTTGCATTGTCTTGCATAGCCCATGCCCGGGTCATGCCCTTCTGACTGCGGACTTGGACTAGCCGGCCCGGCACCTTCCAGCCACCACATCGGCAGACTTCACCCTGACCTTCGGGCCGTGGCATGCTCCAACAACTTTCCTCTTTAATTTGCCTGCACTGTAGAGCATGTTTGGTGCATCGTACGTCGAGTTCTGCAGGTAAGGCTAAGGCACGAAGTGTGGTTTCCTGCGATGCAACCAGGATGTCCTCTGAGAGCTCAGACAAATGGACCTGCGGATTTAGCAGCATCTGTCACACACGAATGGTTGCATGGGGCGGAACACGTCAGGCCCCCGGCGAGTCCCCACAGCTCGCGTGCACCTTCTTGGTTGTCGTCTCATGATTTCTCTGCCACCACCGAAGCGACGAGACTTGCAAGCAGAGCCTCCTGGAGGCCTCACAGCGACGTAGATGCCTGCAATACTTTGTTGCTGTACATCAATGATCATCAATGCACTGCACTTACAGCGCACCGTAGCTGGCGGCGTGCAAGACCTGGCCGTCCATCCACTGTTCGGGTGTCCTGGCTTGACTTAGTTCGACATGGTCAAGACAAGAATCCTGGTCCAAGGCCACGGCACATCCACGAAGTCTGACACATCTTGCCCATCGGCCAGACAAGCGCCTTCCTTCGGCCAGCAGAGAAAGCTGTAGCGAGAACGCCATGTTGGTCATGCATCGGAATGTCGTGCAAGACGCTTTGCTCTCAAGGTAGCTTCGACGAAGATTGCATCACAGTTATGCCATGGCAATCCATCATTTGCATTAGGGCACGCCAAGAAGAACAGATGACATCATCGTGCAATACTAGTTTGCAGGTTACAGTGTGGTCAGCTGCGAGTAAGCAAAGCCTGTAAGAACCTTCCTCTCATCAAAGAATTACAATAGGAAAACGGGTAAGCTTTTCACGGATTACTACATGACAGCTGTCAACACCTTCCATCCAGCGGGGGATGCATACTTTGCAGCGTTCGACAACAGCAGTCGTAATGATAGTGAATGCCGCCGCAGGGGCAAACTTGACAGAGTGCTGCAGTGCAACTTGATCTATGCCGACGGCCGGGAATTGCAGCTCATACTGCTCTGGGTAAGAGAGATCACACGCCAGTGGAAGTGGCTTGCTTACACCTACACACGCTTGTGTGCACCGATGGCGCAGCTCAGTTCAAATGCAACAGAGATGTTTGATTGCCACAGGCAAGGCAACTGGGACTGACCCACTGCACACTTGTCGTCAACCCTCGTGGGATATAATATCGTGAGCGGGACATCATAAACACCGCCGCGCAGGTAGCACCGGACTCCTACACTACCCGCAAGAAAGATGAGTCGCAATTCCTGTCAGTGCCACGAACACAGTGCTTGTCACGTGTTCAGATTCATGATCTCTGGGTTGTTGCGGCTATGCTTCAACGGTGGCAGGGGCAATCTAGCAATGGTTGAGTTTGCACACATGTGGCGCACCGCGCAGGTCTTGTCCGGGCCAAGAACCGTGTTTACAGGCACGCACGTCGAGCGGGCAGGAGACTCATCCTTGCCTAGAGAGGAAGGGGGCCAGTCTGCAACTCAGATATGCAGTCAGCAACCCGGCTAGGCATGCCCACGTCAGGACACCAAGGATGTTATCCCCTGAGCTTTTCAGGTTGGATCTCAAGGCTCTAGCACATTTGTCCGAAAGATTGTGTCGGCTGCTGTCGCAATGTGGCGCCAACAACTGCTCCGAAGGTGGCTCGGCTGATTTGGAATTACGAGTTCGCACGTTGTTCTGCTATCAACGGCTTGCTGAGGATATTCGCCTGCATGAGAATGTCCTTACAGCACTGATTACCACATTGTGATGCGAGAGGCGCAACACGGTTGACAACAATGCCCGGATCACGGACCACTCCAAGCAATGGTTGGTGCAGTTTGAGCGATCTAGGTCGGAAAGCCGTTTCCAAAAGCTCCGACAATCATGCTACGAGTACCGACGACTCAATTTCTCACATGCCGACAACTTCAGTTGCCAACACATGTCCGTCGTACGAATGTGTGTTTGCATCCTCGTGAAGTTCTGCCTCGCAAACGGGTGGACGTCCGCGAAATGCAAGCTGCCGAACTTCCTAACGACAATTCTTTCATTGCAGGCATGACGACTGCTACGAAGGCATTCACCGTGGAACAGGATAAGGCCCAAGTGTCGGCGGGGTACCGGAGGGCCAGCCGCGTTGTCATGCGTGAATCGCGAATAAAAAGGAGAAGACAATGACCACAAGACGTGGAAGCACGGTGCGCAGCTCCTGCTACGGTTGCCTGCCTCGACCACGCATGTAGGCTCAGAAGGTGCTTTGACCAGACCAGCATGGAAAGTCTGGTCATGCATGCACTCGACCTTCTCTAAGTTCGCATTCGCACTCTTGCAAAGCTGAAGCGACAGCAAGCGACAGCAAGCGACAGCAAGAAATGCGCTCTCAGCTGCCTGCTCCGCCGGCTTGTTTTGCAAGCGGCTGCCTTGTAGACGCGCAAGTTGAACCTGCCATGCTCCCGTGCACCTGTGGCTCCAAACAAACGGGATGCCTCAAGGTCGGTTCTGATGTCCGCAGCACCCCCCTTCATAGAGAGCTCTAGCCTTGCAAACACAAGGTGCAGAAGACCGGACACTTACTTCAGTACCAACCACTTAAGACTTGCACAGCCCTCCATGCTTGCGGCCCACAACCCGCACATGGACCTTCACAGAGATGCCGACGGGGCAGAAAAGGCAGCTAAATCGAGCTAAATAATACTGCGTTTGCCTTGTCTCCAGGGATAAAGACAGACTGCATAGTGCCACGCGGCAAGTCAATCCTCAAGCCACCGTCACGGTTTCCGAGGAATTTGCAGCCAACGAAACTGACTGCAGAAAACTGGAGTTGACCAGGAAGCGCACCGTTTTATCGGGACGATACCCCGCTGGGCCACTTCGAGATCTGGATGTCTCACATCCACAAGCCTCAAGTGACATCTCACAACGACCGGGATTGAACAGTCAGAAGGCTGGGTGCTGCACAGAGCTTCAGAGGTTACAGCGTCTGTATCTGCGCAAGACGGGCTACATTCGCATTTCAAGTCTTACGGGAGATGTAGAAGCAGAGCCTGATGAAACGACTGCTTCGAGCCATTGGCAGGCATAGACATCGTCAAATCTTGTACGATCCTCGTACAAGCAACCAAACATGATCAATGTACATACACCGCTCTGTCAACGCTCCTGCATTGACCCAGAAGAAGATGACCTGCCTCGGTGCCCAGAAGGGTGGGGGACGAACGAAACAAGGAATCTTCCACAGTGAGCTCCCAGCTACTACGTCGCGGAGACACCGCCAAGTGTCCCCTCCATCACTGCGGCTCGCAAAGCTCCCGTATGCTGCACAGAGAACTGTCGGCCTTTCAATATCGACATGTGAAACGTAAACCTGAGTGATTCGCGAAAGGGTTTCAGCATCCAGCAGCTGACTGCCAAACCAATTGCAAGACTCGATTGCTGAGGCCACGACCTCGACATCCTCACCCACTTGAATCATCTTAGACACCTCCTGCTTTGTCATGGTAGTAGCAGTAGCAGTAGCAGCAGCAGTAGAAGTAGCATGAAGTAGCTGTAGCAGCAGCAGTAGTAGTAGTAGTAGTAGTAGTAGTAGTAGTAGTGGCAGTAGTACCAAGAGTAGCAAAGGTGGTGGTGGTGGTAGTAGTAGTAGTAGTAGCAGGAATAGTAGTAGTAGTAGTAGTAGTAGTAGCAGCAGAAGGAATACTAGTGGTGGTAAGAGTAGCAGTTGTAGCAGTAGTAGTAGTGGCAAGTAGTAGGAGTTCGAATAGGAACATGAGCAGCAGCAGGAGCAGGAGAAATGCTCAAAAGAAAAGTCAACCAGACCTCTAACCGCTCACACCACGCACACACCATACGGAGACTTGCGAGCAAAGACCCACCGCTCTCGAGGCAGCGCCGAGCACCCAAACATAATATCCTTGAAATGGAGTAGCAAGAAAACCTCAAGCCGGATCTACAACCATCCCTAAATCCCAAATAGCACCACAGGGCCACACACAAACTAGTTCGGAACAGTGCAGAGAACAGTGCAGAATGGAATGACAGGCCCAGCCTACCCCAGCCAAATCATATTGAAAAGAATACACTCTTGTAGCTCTATCTAACAAAAAGTTTCATCCAACAACGGCAAAATAATCCTAAGCCCAAACCTTGCACACAACGGTCAGCGATTGGTCATCGATTTTGAGTTCGTACCGCTGTCTACATATTGTCGGATCGTCTGACCCCCCACTACCCACGGTGCGCCGCTAGAAGGATTCACTCTTATAGGATCCATTCGGCGATAGGCAAACTCGGTACACTCAGCAACACAGCTAAAGTGCATGTACAAAACACGGTCAGAATCTCATAAGCATGTATGGGTAACATCGTAGCTACATTGTGAAGTAGCCAAGTAGCTACGCACTGCATAAACTGATGGACCTATGTGTGAAAAGGGTTGTCTGCTACGCTAACATCAGGTCATTTCTTGGCCTACATACCTGCATGAAGACCTCAAAATGCTTGTGTTTGTGCTTGTGTCTAGACGCCCGCCCGCCCGCCCGCCCGCCC